CAATACTGCCTGATAGTATATACATATATAATTGAGTTGTGATACTCTGATAAACTATCTAAAAAAAAAAAATCAAACACCGCAATACTTACAGTGAAAATACCCATTAGCTGAGTGTAAAAGAGCCCACTTATTCCACCTAACATTATTATGCCCATGAAGGTCGATATTCTTAGCAGGGCAAGTTCATGTCTAAATACAAAGAGATCCTATGAACAAAGAAAAAGAGAAAAGATTGTTTAGTTTTTAAAAATTACATGAAGAAAATGATTCCTGAACAAAGCAATAACATTAGATAACTAATTCATGACATTTATGGCTAAAAGCAATGCACTTATATGAGCTAGGTAGTATTTTTTCACTGCATAAAGCCTAAAAGCTCAGTACCTGTAAAAATATATATTTTATTTACACATTCAGACATATAAAAAGTTATTTGCTAGACTGACAAATAACTCAATCCACTATTTAAGGTTTGGGAGAAAGCACTGCTATTTATTGCTGACTTTTCCTCAGCAAAGCATGCCACATGCTATTTTCTATACACTTGTCTTCCCAAGAAAATATCCAACTAAACTTTCTCTGCTATCTTGGCTCTAGCCATAGTCAATTTCATTTTTGATAACACCTTTTAAAAAAAATAACACTTAGAACTTGACTCAAAGATGGTACTCTAGTAAAATGAAAATATACAGTACTTGGTTTATGTTAAAGAAATACCAACTACCATCCTAATTTTAGGCTACTTAAATCCTCATATGAACTTGCATATTAATCCAACAGGATTTGTTGCTCACATATGAATATATTAAATAGAATCTATGATCTCAAAAATATGCCTCCAATGCACACATGTGGTTTAAGACTTTCTACTCAGAAAAGATGGATCGCGACATGAAACTATGACCAACATAAAAGTAACACAAACAAAAAATGAATGCTGTTGTTAATGTCTAGCATTTACTTCAAAATTTTTATGTTGTGGCTTGCCCAGAAGTTTAACTTTTAATAAGGACTGGAATGTGATAAATAGGATGAATAAGTAATTTTTAAAGAGCCATTAAAATAGGATTTTGATTTTATAGTTGTTTTTTAAAAAGTATCTTTAAAAATAATGTGACAAATAAATATTAAAGAAGTTATGTTTTCTGCTAAAATGTTAAAGTGCAACCACTAAACTGTCTATGTTCTTGGAAAAGACAGTTACAGAGCATCTTCGCTATAAGTCGCCCCAGTATACACCCGTTCTGCACTACAGTCGTTAATGCTTCTATGAACTGATGCGTTATAAGTCCTCCCATTCCCCAATCTTAAGTTGCACAACCCCCCCTCCCACCCCGCCAACCCCCACCTCAATTTGCGCAAATGGAAGTCAGCCATGGGGAAAAAATTCCGCACTTTAAGTTGTTTCACTATAAGTACAAGTTTTTTGGACGGGCCTGTACCTGTTCTGTAACTGGTGTTCTTTGAGATGTATTGCTCATGTCTATTCAACATAGGTATATGTGCCTACCACATGTACTGGTGCTGGAAGTTTTTCCTTAAGCAGTACCCATAGGGGCTGGAGTCCTCAGTGCTCCCTGGAGTGGCGCACACATATTGCACTATATAGGGTGCCCCCGGCCCCTCCCTCCTCAGTTCCTTCTTGCTGGAACTCTGACAGAGGGGAGAAGGGTGGGAGGTTGAATGGACATGAGCAACACATCTCGAAGAACACTAGTTACAGAACAGGTAACTGTCTTTTCTTCAAGTGCTTGCTCATGCCCATTCAACACAGGTGTCTGTAAGCAGTGTCTGCAGAGGTGGGTAAGAGTTATGAGAACGCAGACTGCAGTACAACTCTTCCAAACACAGCATCTTCCCTGGCCTGCATTGTGATGGCATAATGAGATGTGAACATATGTACCAACAACCACGTCGCTGGATTGGGACATGTGCAAAGTAAGCGTGCGAGGAAGCCTGAGCCCTGGTGGAGTGGGCCCTAATCAACTCTAGTGGCTAGGCCTCTGCCAACTCATAGTAAATGTGCAGATGCACATGTGCTCCATTTGGACAGCTGCTGGGAGGAAATCGGGGAACCCCTCCCATGCTCTGCATATGCCATGAACAGCTGTGTGGAGCTGCGAAATGCACATATCCTCTCCAGGTAAAAGGCCAGTGCCCAATGCATATCCAGTTTGTGAAGGCACCTACACCCACACATAAGGCTTGGGGTAGAAATCGGGCAGAAAAATGTCCTGGTCCAACATGGAAGGTGTAAACCACCTTGGGGGGAAAGGCTGGATGAGACCGCAGCTGGACCTTATCCTTGAAGAACCGGGTATATGGTGGTTCTGATATCAGTGCTTGGAGCTCCAATACCCGTCTAGCCAAAGCAATGGTGATCAGGAAGGCTACCTTGAATCAGAGCAGCAACAAGTGACATGTGGCCAAGGGCTTGAACAGAGGGCCCCCCCATGAGCTATGCCAAGACCAGGTTCAGGTCCCACTGCAGGAGAGAATCTCTGACCTGAGGATATAGGCATTCTAGGCCTCTCAGGAACTGAGAATACTGAATGACCTTGCATGGGCGGATGAAACACAGAAATGGCCTCCAGGTGGATTCTAATGGTGGGCAGAACAAGGCCTTGTCGTTTCAGGTGCAGCAAGTAGTCCAAGATTTCCTGGAAGGAAGCTTTGGCTGGGATGACCTGCCACTGCTGCGCCCATACAGACAAATTAATCCATTTGGCAGCATAGGCGGACTGCGTTGAGGGCTTTTGACTCTTGAGAAGAACCCACTGATCATCACCCGCACCCGCTAGCTTCTGGGAGTTTAACCACAGATAAACCCTGACATCAGGTGGAGTACCCTTGGTCCTGGGAGAGCAAGTCCAGTCTCAGGGCAGCTGTCTGGGCATACGAGACACCAGATTCATCAATGCCCTGAGGTCAGGTTGGTGCAATGAAGATCACTGTCACCTTGTCCCTGTGACATGCACTTGGTGAAAACCAAAGGGCAGGACAGTGAATTGGTAGTGGTTCCTCCCCACCATGCACTTCAGGAAGCGCTTGTGACCTTTGAAGATGGTGATATCGAAGTAAACATCCTCGAGGTCAAGGGTGGCATGACAGTCCCTGGGATCCAGGTTGGGAATGACAGTGCTCAGGGAGACCATATGGAACTTGTGACATGCACTTGGTGAAAACCAAAGGGCAGGACAGTGAATTGTTAGTGGTTCCTCCCCACCATGCACTTCAGGAAGCGCTTGTGACCTTTGAAGATGGTGATATCGAAGTAAACATCCTCGAGGTCAAGGGTGGCATGATAGTCCCTGGGATCTAGGTTGGGAATGACAATGCTCAGGGAGACCATATGGAACTCGAGGCTGACCAAATATTTGTTGAGGCCCCGCAAGTCCAATATAGGCGTAGGCCCCCTTTTGCCATAGGGCTCAAAAAGTAGTTGAAATAGAAACCTTTGTTTTCAAACTTTGGCGGCACCCTCTCCACTGCTCTCACCTGGAGCAACAAGGATAGCTCCTGTCTGAGAAGCTGCTTGTGAGAAAGGTCCCTGAAGAAGGATGAGGGAAGAGGGTAGGAAGATGGTATGGAGGAGAGCTGGAGGGTGTAGCCACGCTGGATAGTGGCTAAGACCCAAAGGTCTGATGTAATATCCCTTCATGCTGAGAAGAAGGGATGGAGCCTGAAGGAGAACAGGTGGGCAGGTTCCTGGGATCCGGTATGTCGTCCCTAGGTGCACCCTCAAAAGGAATGCTTGCTTTGGATTTTCGCCTGGCTAATCTATTGTTGGCCACACAGAGGATGGCGGCCCTGTTTCTGCTTGGAGGGCTTTGGGCATGAAGGGGCTCTCTCCTGCTGGGGATACTGGCCCTTTTGTTGAGAGAACTGGGGCTTTAACCTTCTTCCTCTCAGATCCCGGGATGTAGAGGCCTAGGATTTCCAAGGTCATACAGGAGTTCTTGAGCCCGAGCAACTTGGTGTCTATCTGTTCTGCGAACAGTGCCCCTGTGTCAAAAGGCAGGTCCTGAATGGAGTTCTGTGCACCTAGAGACAGGCTTAAGAGAAGAAACCAGGCCACATGCCTAATGGAGATGGCAAACGCAAAAGACTGTGCCCCCGAGTCTGTGGCATCAGACGAACCTGCAAGGTTGCTGGCACCACGGAGGACCCTTCTTCAATCAGCGCCTTTTAGTCCTTGCAGGAGGCCCTGCTTGACTAAGGACCCCGAACAACAAGTACGAGGTCTCTTGCACTTCCTCAGCCTAGAGGCTGAAGGCATTAGCCACCCCTCTCAGGAGGTCCTGGTGGGCTTGAGTCCTCCTGGGGCACTGCTGGAGGAGAAGCCACAATCGCCTCTTCCAGAGATGAAGAGGAGGCAGCTAGGGACAGCTGGCCTTCTTCACGAAGCAGGCAGCTGGCCACTCGCTCTAGCCATCTGTTGGGAGGGAAGGAGGAAATCTGGTGTCCCTGCACCCTCTTGAGGCCTCCCTGATGCCCACGAGAGCCTGGAAGTACCAAAGGAGCCTGGGACGCTTTGGCGACAGAGTGGCTGGAGCTGTACCAGGAAGCCTCAGTGAGTCCATGGGCACCCTTGCACCTGCCACTGAGACAGTGGCCACGGTGTGCTCTGGGATGGCAATGGCGATGTTGATGGCACCAAGGGTTTTGCTGACTGCAGTGCAGGTGGGATGGAGGCCACCCCCGAACCCATGCTGTTGGAGCAGATGCCTGCTGACACCCATGACAATGAGCAGGAAGAGCAGCCTTTCTGGTGCTGAGACTCCGCTACTGACAGACCTTGGAGACCCAGAATGCCAGACTGTCTGCAGGAGCTATGACAGCCTGAAGAGCCGCTCAAGTCTGTAGAACAGTTCCGGAGAGAAGTTCTACGGTACCAGAACGGAGCCCGGGAAAAATGGCATGCACCTCTGCGGCCAGAAAGACTCAGTGCCAGCGAGTACCTGTGCCGGTGCCGTGTAGAGGAATCCCAGCATTGGTGTGGTGAAGAGGGAGAATCACTATCCTTTTGACTCCTCTGATGTTGGAGGGTTCATGCCTGAACAGGTCTATGTAACAACTCCAGCGATGCGGGAGATTGCGCATCATGCCCCAGTCTCTCATGTGCAGACCTATGAGAACTTCAGGGAGCTCTCCTCTTGGACACTGCTGGAGAGCGTGATTGGACTGTGCTAGGAGATCGGGGACC